GGGATATTCAGCCTGTATTAAAAAAAAAAAAAAAGGGAAGGCTGGTCGGGTGTGGTGGTGCACACCTGTAATCTTAGCAATTCAGGAGGCGGAGGCAGGAGGATCTCCAATTCGAGGAGAGCTTCAGCAATTTAATGAGGACCTAAGCAAATCAGCGAGACCCTGTCTCAATATAAAAAATAAAAACGGGAGATGTGGCTCATGATTAAGCATCCCTGAGTTAGATCTCCAGTAACCACATCCCCAGAAAAAAAAAAAAAAAAAGTGAAGGCTGTCCTAGAGGCAGTGGATGAGGATTCATTCTTATAAAATCCAGAAGCAGGGGCTGGGCTTTGGCTTAGCGGTAGAGCCCTTGCCTAGCACATGCAAGGCCCTGGGCTCGATCCTCAGCCCACCACATATAAATAAATAAAATGAAGGTATTGTGTCCAACTACAATTAAAAAACTAAATATTTTTTAAAAAAATCCAGAAGTAGGTAGACATGTGGGAAGTTTTGGAACCTGGTGGGTGGAATGTTGGCACAACAAAGTTTTGATGAACTTCTAAGGTATTGATTATATCAGAAATTATTACTTTCAGAAATTATTTTGGCATGTGACTGCTATTAGATCTTTAAAAGTGAGACCAGGACTCCCTACAGTTGCAGAATCCTGGGCTATCCCATTGTCTGAACCTTCTTCTACTGGGTTTTAGAGTGAGGCATTTTCACAAGAACAATGGCAAAGGAAAGGAGAGTGACACTTGATTCTTCACTAGTACCTGGAACTTTAGGGTAGAGATCTCTGACACATTGGGCTAGAGCATATAGCTTTCTCATTTTCCAAAACTACTTAGCTTTGGACTTATGTAATATTTGCTGTATTTCATTTTTTTTTTTTTTTGAAGTACCCAAATCTGACTCTGATTGCACCAGAGTCTGAAGGGAACAAGTTATACCAAGTTCACTGACTTTCTCCTCCAAACATGGCCTCATAGGCAAACATGGCCTAATGAATACCCTGTAGTCTGACCAGACTGGTAATCTTTCTCTTTGTGAACTGGGAATGAGAACTTTCTTCTCCTAGTTATTTTCATTTGTTTTGTCAATATTTCTCATTAAAATCTTTCATAAAAATAGAGATTAAAATTAACATAGTGATCTAATGACAACTTATTTATTAAATGAACTTTTACATTTGTCAACATTGTTTCTTTAAACCATTGGTTTGCTTTTGATTAGTTAATATTTAGTGGTCCCTATTTAAAATATTTAGGTTGAGATGGTAATATATTTAGAAGCTAAATGAGTAAAAGAAAATAGAAATAAATTTAACAAAAGAGGTATAAAATCTGTGTGCTAAAAACTGCAATACATTGTTGAAAGAAGTTAAGAAAGACCTAAATAAATGGAAAGATGCTCTGTGTTAATCAACTGGAAAATTTAATACTGTTAATATGGCAATATTTCCTAAATTGATTCATAGATTCAATTTCAGGATCAAAAAAATCCTTGCTGGCTTTTTTGCAAAATAGGGAGGCTGATTATAAAATTCATATGAGAACTTGAAAGACCTAGAAGAATCTTGGAAGAGGAGAAAAAAGTTGGAGAACTCACATGTTCTGCCTTTAGAACTTACTGCAAAGTTATATTAATCTAGGTCATGTGCTCCTCCATAAGAATACACACATAGTCAGCTTTCCATCGTTGTAACAGAATACCTGGAACAATCAATTTTAAAAAGAGCAACTGTGGAGGAAAAAAAGGAGCAAATGTAGCAGCAAAATCTTGTCTTATAAATAAATAAATAAATAAAAAGGGCTGGGGATGTGGCTCAGTGCCCCAGCACATAGTTTTGAAGGTTTCTGTCCATGATCTCTTTTCCTCATTATTTTTGGGTCTTTGGTGAAATGGTGTATCATAGTAGAAGCAGACAGCAGAGGAAGCCATTCATATGGCCAGAAATGAAAGACAGAAGAGACCAAGGTCCCTTGGTCCCTTTGAGGACATATCCCCATGAGTTGAAGACTTCCCATCTTCCCATCTCTTTTTTTTTTTTTTTTGGTGCTGGGGATTGAACCCAGGGCTTTGTGCATGCAAGGCAACCACTCTGCCAACTGAACTATGTCCTGGCCTGTAGGGTTCACCTCTTAATGACTATACCACAGTGACATCTCTCTGGGGAATAAGACTTTGACCTTTAACACATGGGCCTTTGGGAGACGTTTAAGAGGGTAGAATTGAAAGTCTGGAATTAAACTCATATATTTATGGTCAGTCGATTATTTTTTTTTTTTTCTTTTTTGGTGCTGGGGATAAACCCAGGGGCGTTTTACCATTGAGCTACATCCCTAGTCCTTCATATTTTATTTTTTGAGACAGGATCTCACTGAGTTACTTAGGACCTCCCTAAGTTACTGAGGCTGGCCTTGAAGTTGTGATCCTTCTGCTTCAGCCTACTGAGTTGCAGGAATTACAAGCTTATGTCATCAGAGTCAATGGTAGTTAATTGCTTTTTCTTTTTTTTAGATGTTGATGGACTTTTATTTTATTCATTTATTTATATGTGGTGCTGAGAATCAAACTCAGTGCCTCACACATGCTGGGCTAGCACTGTGCCACTGAGCCACCACCCCAGCCCCTGGTTAATTGATTTTTGGCAAGGATTTCAAGATTATTCAATGAGGAAAGAATAGTCTTTTGAACAAATGGTGCTGGAGAAACTTGGTAACTACATGTGAAACAATGCATTTGGGTCCTTACCTCACACTATATATCGGATTAACTAAAAATCATAGACCTAAGTACAAGAGAAAAAACTCTAAAAAAAAAAACACAGGTGTAAATCTTCTTGGATATGACATCAGAAGCACAGATGATGAAAGAATAAATAGATAAATTGGACTTAAATGATAAATGTTTGTACTTCAAGAGAGTGAAAGGATCACCTACAGAACGGGAGAGAATATTTGCAAATCATATGTCTTGTGACTTCTCCCTAGTTGGTTGTAAGATAACCCAATTAAATAATAGGCAAAGTGACGGCTAACAGAAGAGATCTCTTTTGGATGATGAAAATTTTGTAAACCAATTACAATGATAATTGCACAATTTTATGTATGTAATAATAACCATTGAATGGTATACTTTATGAATAATTTGTATGGTATATGAATTTTTTTCTCCTTTTTTTTTGGTACCAGGGATTAAACCTGGGCCATATCCCCATACCTTTTTATTTATTATTTTGAGACAGGGTCTCACTACGTTGTTTAGGGCATTGCTAAATTGCTAAGGCTAGCCTCAAACTTGCAATCCTTCTGCCTCAGCCTCCCAAGTTGCTGGGATTATAGGCATGCACCATTGCACCTGGCCTAAATCATATTTAAATAAAGTATTTTTTTGGGGGGGTGAGTGGGTACTGGGGATTGAATCCAGGGGCACTTGACCACTGAGCCAGATCCTCAGTTTAGCACCTTGCTTTTGCTGAGGCTGGCTTTGAACTCATGATCCTCCTTCCTCGGCCTCCCAAGTGCTGGGATTACAGACATGCATCACTGTGCCCCGCTTAAATAAAGCTTTTGTATCTCACGCTGGGGATATAGCTCAATTGGTAGAGTGTTTGCCTTGCATGCACAAGGCCCTGGGTTCAATCCCCAGCACCACCAAACAAGAAGTTTTTGTATCTCAAAAAAAAAATGGGACTACATAATAATGGTATAGAAGTATAGAAATTTTTGTGAGAACCAGGTGTAGAAGAAATAATTTTAATCATGGCATCAAGGTAAAGGTTGATTGAAGTGAGACTAAAAGAAATATTTTACTTTTGGTCAATTACTTTCCCCCAGAACCTGGAGAATCCTGTTTCTCCTTATATACTGTGGAGTGGAAATGAGCGATGCCTGTGAATACTGTAGAAGATAATTTATCCCAGTTCAGTTTCTCCTTAGTGAGTCAAGAATTTTAAAGGCAGCATAGATGAAATAAGGAACTCACATTGGAGGCCAAACCTATCTGAAATGACCTTAAAATCAAAGGAGACTTTATTTACAGCAAATTATACAGTGAGAATAAAGTTTAATTTGTAGACATGTAATTTTAGGTGTCATTCTAGTTACTCTGACTGTGTTACCCTAAATGATCATTTATTTTGTTTCTAGTTTTGTGGGTATAGACATCCAGTTCTGACTTTGTTCTGAATGTTCCAGGTCTTGGTCAGGGCTGAGTCATTTTTAAGGCTCACTCACTCACTCACAGGTTTGGCAGTTGAGAGTGTCTTGGTGCATGGTCTCCATTCCTCTATGTCTGAACCGTGCTCTGTGGCCCCTGTCTACTGGCCATTCGGTCTCTGTTTCCACACAACATGACAGCTGGGTTCCCAGGGCAGGCATCCTGCTGGAGCAGGGGCAAGCTGAGCTGTGTCTTATCACCTACCTCCAGAAAGTCCCACTGTCACTTCTGTTGAATTCTGATCATTAAGGCAGTTACAGTCTCCTGTTCAAGTGCAGGGGAGGGATGTTGTACTAGAAGTACATAAAGCACAGCTCTGGGAATACCCCTGTGGCCATTTTTAGGAAAGTACAGGTTCCCACAGTCCTGGAAGGGAGGCTTACTGGTCAGCTGGTCCAGTCCCCTTGATTTGCTGATGAGGACACCAAGGCTGAGAAGAAATATGCAGTGTGGCTGCGTCACATTCGATTTTTGGGGGCTGGAATTTAGCCTGCTCTTCCACCTGCAACCCCACCTGCTCCCCTCTCCTGATCGCATAGGTCCCTCAAGTTGTGAGCCAGCCTTCCTCAGCTTACTTAGCCCAACCTAAGGGTGATGTTGGCAAGGCTGCTGGCAGAGGCCTGCCTATAGTGGGAAGGGGAGGAAGTGTCTCCCACTCTCCCTGCACATTGGCTTTCTCAGAAGGCCTGGCCGACCGCTGAGTGCTGTGGCCACGCGGTGGAGCCCCACTTCCTAGCGTTAGAAATTCAGTGGTAAATCCAGTTGAACATTTTTTTTTGCCCTTTTTTCAGGTGCACAGAATTTTGATGTCATACGATTATCAACTTACAGAACAGCTTGCAAATTACGCTTTGTACAGAAACGATGCAACCGTAAGTCATTCTTCTCATTTCTCTGATGGGCAGATGGGGCTATCAATGTTGTAAAATATTTTAATATCTTTTGGACACATTGTGATGTTAATTGAATTCTTTTTGTTGCAAGTATTTATCAGAATATAAGCTTTATAATGGCAAGAACTTGTCATTTTACTCCTGTGTCCCCAGAATGTTGAACAGAATGTTTTGAGGTTGGCATGATGGTGAATGTTCTTTAAGCATGAGAATTGAATTCTCCTTGTTGCTAATGTTAAAGAAATGTGTTAAACAAACTTTAATACGATTTATCAGCTTCTGAGGAAAAAGAAAAACATCGATGTTTTGGTAAATATGTAGTAAGAATTTTCTTGATTAAGGTTAATATAAAAAATTAACCTTTTGATAAGTAATTGCTTTCATGTGCACTATAAAGTGTAGGTGGATATATGTGTGTATATATGTATATAGTCTCTTAATTTCCATGAAGATGAACTGTTGTATGAATTATTATATTTTTCTTATGTATATGGTGATGGGAGAGAGGGACTATTAATGAAAAATAATAATATATAATGAAAAGAACATTAACCTAGACTTTATTTATTTTTTATTAGGTATTTTTTTAGTTGTAGATGGACACAATACCTTTATTTTATTTATTTTTATATGGTGCTGAGGATCGAACCTAGTGCCTCACACGTGCTAGGCAAGTGCTGCACCCCTGAGCTACAACCCCAGCTCTTTTTTTTTTTTTAACCATACGATTTATTTTTATTTTTTTTTAGTCATACATGACAGCAGAATGTATTTTGACATATAATACATATATGGAATGTACATAATGTCTGTTCTATTCTGCTGCCTTTCCTATCCCCCCTACTCCTCCCCTCCTCTCCCGTCCTTTCTCTCTATCCAATCTAATGTGACACACTTTTTTTTTCTTTTTCTCATCACAACATCATATATGTATTCTGTATAACATTGAGGTTCTCTTTCCATCTTCCGTGCAACTCCCCTTCTCCCTCTTTTTCCCTCCCACCTCTCTTCCCTATTTAGTGGTAGTCTTCTTCTCATGCTCTTCCTCCCTATCCCATTTTGAGTCACCCCCTTATATCAGAGAAGACATTCGGCATTTGTTTTTTAGGGATTGGCTAACTTCACTTAGCATAATCTGCTCTAATGCCATCCATTTGCTTGTAAATGCCGTGATCTTGTTATTTTTTAATGCTGAGTAATATTCCATTGTGTATAAATGCCACATTTTTTTTAATCCATTCATCTATTGAAGGGCATCTAGGTTAGTTCCACATTCTAGCTATTGTGAATTGTGCTGCTATAAACATTGATGTGGCTGTGTCCCTGTAGTATGCTCTTTTTAGGTCTTTTGGGTATAGTCCGAGAAGGGGAATAGCTGAGTCAAATGGTGGTTCCATTCCCAGCTTTCCAAGGAATCTCCATACTTCTTTCCAAATTGGCTGCACCAGTTTGCAAATTTGCAGTCCCACCAGCAATGTATGAGTGTACCTCCTCTCCCCCCCCCCATCCTCTCCAGCACTTATTGTTGTTTGACTTCATAATGGCTGCCATTCTTATTGGAGTGAGATGGTATCTTTGAGTAGTTTTAATTTGCATTTTTCTGATTGCTAGAGATGGTGAGCATTTTTTCATGTATTTGTTGATTGATTGTATATCCTCTTCTGAGAAGTTTCTGTCAACTCCTTGGCCCATTTGTTGATTGGGTTATTTGCTTTTTTGTTGTTTAATTTTTTATATTTATTATAATTCTTTGTATACTCTAGAGATTAGAGCTCTATCTGATGTTTGAGGGGTAAAAATTTGTTCCCAGGATGTAGGCTCCCTATTCACCTCACATATTATTTCTCTTGCTGAGAAAAAACTTTTTAGTTTGAATTCGTCCCATTTGTTGATTCTTGGTTTTAACTCTTGTGCTATAGGTGTCTTATTAAGAAATTTGGGGCCTGCCCCCACGTGATGAAGATTAGGGCCAACTTTATCTTCTATTAGACGCAGAGTCTCTTGTCTGATTCCTAGCTCCTTGATCCATTTTGAGTTGACTTTTGTGCATGGTGAGAGAAAGGGATTCAATTTCATTTTGTTGCATATGGATTTCCAGTTCTCCCAGCACCATTTGTTGAAGATGCTAGCCTTTCTCCATTGCATATTTTTAGCACCTTTGTCTAATATAAGGTAGTTGTAATTTTGTGGATTTGTCTCTGTGTCCTCTATTCTGTACCATTGGTCTACCAGCCTGTTTTGGTGCCAGTACCATGCTATTTTTGTTACTATTGCTCTATAGTATAGTTTAAAATCTGGAATCGCGATACCACCAATTTCAGTCTTCCTGCTTAGAATTACTTTAGCTATTCTGGGTCTCTTATTTTTCCAGATGAATTTCATGATTGCTTTTTCTATTTCTGCAAGGAATGTTATTGGGATTTTGATGGGAATTGCATTGAATCTGTAAAGTGCTTTTGGTAATATGGCCATCTTAATAATATTAATTCTACCAATCCATGAGCAAGGTAAATCCTTCCATCTTCTAAGGTCTTCTTCTATTTCTTTCTTCAGGGTTCTGTAGTTTTTTTTTTTTTTTTAAAGAGGGAGAGAGGGAGAGAATTTTAATTTTTATTTTTTGGTATTTGGCGGACACAACATCTTTGTTTGTATGTGGTGCTGAGGATCGAACCCAGGCCGCATGCATGCCAGGCGAGCACGCTACCACTTGAGCCACATCCTCAGCCCCTGTAGTTTTCATTGTATAGATCTTTCACCTCTTTTGTTAGGTTGATTCCCAGGTATTTTATTTTTTTTGAGGATATTGTGAATGGAGTGGTTGTCCTCATTTCCATTTCAGAGAATTTGTCACTGATATACAGGAATGCCTTTGGTTTATTGGTATTGATTTTATATCCTGCCACTTTGCTGAATTCATTTACTAGTTCTAGAAGTTTCTTGTTGAACTTTTTGGGTCTGCTAGGTATAGGATCATGTCATCGGCAAATAGTGCTAATTTAAGTTCTTCTTTTCCTATATTTATGCCTTTAATTTCTTTCGTCTGTCTAATTGCTCTGGCTAGTGTTTCAAGAACTATGTTGAATAGAAGTGGTGAGAGAGGGCATCCCTGTCTTGTTCCAGATTTTAAAGGGAATGCCTTCAATTTTTCTCCATTTAGAATGATGCTGGCCTGAGGCTTAGCGTATATAGCTTTTACCATATTGAGGTAATTTCCTGTTATCCCTAATTTTTCTAGTGTTTTGAACATAAAGGGATGCTGTATTTTGTCAAATGCTTTTTCAGCATCTATCGAGATGATCATATGGTTCCTATCTTTAAGTCTATTGATGTGGTGAATTACATTTATTGATTTCCGTATATTGAACCAGCCTTGCATCCCAGGGATGAATCCCACTTGGTCATGGTGCACGATCTTTTTGATATGTTTTTGTATCCAATTTGCCTGAATTTTATTGAGGATTTTTTTTGCATCTATATTCATTAGGAATATTGGTCTGAAGTTTTATTTCTTTGAAGTGTCTTTATCTGGTTTTGGAATTGGGGTGATGTTGGCCTCATAGAATGAATTTGGAAGTACTCCCTCTTTTTGTATCTCCTGAAATAGATTGAAGAGTATTGGTATTAGTTCTTCTTTAAAGTTCTTGTAAAACTCTGCTGTACATCTGTCTGGTCCTGGGCTTTTCTTGGTTGGTAGTCTTTTGATGGCTTCTTCTATTTCCTCACTTGATATTGGTCTGTTTAGGTTGTTTATATCATCCTGACTCAATCTGGGTAGCTCATATGCCTTAAGGAATTTATTGATGCCTTCACAACCCCAGCTCTTTAACCTAGGTTTTAGACCTAATTTGCCATTTATTGAAACAAACAACTTGGGCAAGTTATGTTACATCTGATAACGTCTACCAGACTTTCATCCTTACAAAGCCTAGCTTAAAATTCTTTCCAAGAAGTTTATTATGCTATACTACATCAAAGTTGTGTTTCTCTCTTCATTGATTTCCCAAAGCATGGTTTTTCAAATCATGTGTTGTGACCCATGCATTGATGCTTCATGAAATCTTGTTTTATAGTCACAACTTAAAACATGTTATACAAAAGAAAGAGAAAAGTATCAGAATGTAGTTTTTATGGTAAAAAAAAGTGTTTGTGAATGTGTGTGTGTGTGTGTGTGTATTGGTTTAAATATATTTCTGTGGGTTGTAGTCAAAGTATTTGAAAACCACTGACTTGGAGCAATTCTTGTTTTCTGTCATTCCTCCCGTAGTTATTTTTGGGAAATAGTATCCTGTGTGTGCAGCTTTGAGAACCTGAACTCGGGTAGTGGAGTTGGAAATGCAGAATAGAAGATACGTTGTTCTACTTTTTACTTATGGTCCTACACTCTCCCTTAACTTTGTGTGGGTGTACAGTACAAGTAGGGTTAGCCTTATGTTTGTCCATATCCACGTTCCATTGCCCCTCCCTGTTTTTTGAAAGCTATCCTTTTTTTTTTTCATTGCCAAATAATCCTCTCATACACCTTAGGAGAAATATGCAAGAATGTTCATAGTGGTGTCTGTATGTAAGAAGATCTATTGAGACCTCTTGTGTTTGTGGGTTTGTGTGTCCTTGTACTAATACCGTACAGTAACCATCATGATAGCTTTTAATAAGCTTTCTTTGTAAAGCAAGTCTTCCTACTTCATTCTATTTTTCTTTAAGATTCTCTGGGACATTTGTAGCCTTTTTACACTCTTTTACACTTTTCATACAGATTTTTGAATTTTTGAATTTGACAGTTTCTACTACAACTCAAGGAAAACAAAGAACTGCTGAGATTTTTTCTTTTTTCTTTTAGGTATAATTTACATATAATTCACTTCTTTAATATATAGTCTTCTTGGGATTTTAATTGTGACTGAATGAATAAATAGATCAAGTTGGGTAGAATTGACATATTTTCAATATTGACATTTTCTCTGTGAACATGGTAAATCCATCCTTTATTTATTTAGGTCTTTAATTTCTGCCAATTATATTTATAGATTTCTTTGTAGTAATGTAGCGCATTCATTGAATTTGTCAATAGTCTTTCTGACTTATGTACTACTATAAATAGCACTTTAAAATTTCATTGTATGTTAGTGATATATGGAAGTACAGTGACGTTTATATATTGACCCTCCATCAGTTGTTTTAGATCCATATATTAATTTTAATAACTTATTTCTTGGATATTTATGATTTTATGCATGCATAGTTTTGTCATATCTAGTAGATGGCCATTGTATTTATTTGTCTTTCTTACTGCTTCCTACTTTATCCTGCATATTTCTATTGGTTAGGCCTCAAGTTTAGTGAAATGGTGATGGTGTACATCCACATCTTATTATCAGCATTAGAACACAGGCTTTCAACATTTCCTATTAAGTAGTTCATTTACTGCAGGTTCCTTGTAGATAGCCTTAATTAGGTTAAGAATATTCCGTAGTAGGGTGTTTCTTAATTTTTATTATTTATTTATCAAAACATATTTATTTATTTATTTTAAGTTATTGGCAGACACAACATCTTTGTTGGTATGTGGTGCTGAGGATCGAACCCGGGCCGCACGCATGACAGACGAGCGTGCTACCGCTTGAGCCACATCCCTAGCCCGTTTCTTAATTTTTAAAAGTTAATTTTAAAAAATTATCTTTTAAATATTTTCTACTACTAAGGAACACAGGCTTGTGCATACTGGACAAGCACTTCACCACTGAGCCACATGCTCAGCCCTTTTAACGATTTTTGAGATAGAATCTTGCTTAGTCACTTAGAATCCTCCTGCCCCAGCCTCCTGAGTAGCTGGGGTTATAGTTGTGTGCTGCGTATTATCCTAATCACTGAGGGCATTGATCCATATGTTGTCCTTATGCCTACTTTGTTAGTCATGGAGTTTAACCACTGTGTCCAGAGTTGGTTTTCTATGATTGTACTAGAAATAAGAGAGGTGTATTAGTATCTGCTGTTAAGATTGTGAATATGAGTTTGGTGTCTCTTTAGCATGTGTTCATTTTTGCTCTGTATAATTTGAGACCATTCTGTTAGGAGTAAACAAATAAAAAGTTCTTACATGCTTCTGTTGAATTTAAACTTTTATCATTATGCGATAACTCTATCTCTGGGAATGTTTTGTTCCACCATTTTTTAAAATTGAGGTATATATAATTCTCATACTGAAATTCACTCTTGTGTGCAGTTCAGTGGGTTTTAGTGCATTCAGAGAGTTAGTTGTGCAGTCCTCCTCAGTGTCTAATTCCAGGACGACTTCGTCTCCCTGTTGTATTTGTAGTTATCTTGGTTCCCTCATCCTCCTATTCCTTGGCTACAAATAATTTACTTCTTCTATGGATTTTCCATTTCTGTACTATAAATATAAGTAAAATCATGTGATATGTGTTCTTTACTGTCTAAAATCTTAGCATGAAGGTTTCAAGTTTCATCTGCGTGTATCAGTACTTCATTCTTTTTATGGCCAAATAATATTCTGTACATATAGTAGATTTTGTTTATCAGTTGGTAGGCATTTGGGTTGTTTATGTGTTTAAAAAAATTTTTTTGTAGTTGTAGATGGACAGCATGCCTCTATTAATTAATTAATTAATTAATTAATGTTTGTATGTGGTGCTGAGAATGGAACCCAGTGCCTCACACATGCCAGGCAAGTGCTCTACCACTGAACTACAGTCCCAGCTCAGGTTATTTCTCCTTTTTGACTTGTGAATAATGCAGCTAAATAATGCAGGAATGTACAAAAGTTCCAGTTTCTCCAAATCCTTACCAACAGTTGATGTTTTCTATTAAAAATTTATCGTTATCCTAGTGGTGTGAAGTGGTATATCGTTGAGCTTTTGTTTTGTATTTCCCTAAGACTAATGATGTATAGCATCTGTTCATGTGCTGTTGGCCATCTGAATATCTTTGGATAAGTGTCTTTGCTGTTTCCCATATTTAAATTGTTTGTCTTTTTTGGTTGAGTTCTAAGAGTATTTATGTATTCTGGACATAGATCTTTCTTAATTATGACTTGCAAATATTTTCTTCCATCCCTTGCCTTCTCACTTTATTGCTGTTATCTTTTGAAACACAAATTTAAATTTGAATAATACCCAGTGTATCTGTTTTCTTGGTTGCTCATTCTTCAGATGTGTTGCTCCTGATCTTGAGGGGAGAGCGTCTGTCTTTCCCAGTTAAGGAGAGCATTAGCTGTGGTTTTTTTTTTTTTTTTTTGTAGATGTCCTTTATCAAGCTGAGGGATTTTCCTTTTGTTCCTAACTTGTGTGTGTTAGGAAAGGGTGATGGATTTTGCCAAATGCTTTTTCTGTGTCCATCTAGGTGATCATGTGGTTTTCCAACCCCTCTTTTTTCTGTTGTAGTTACATCAACTTTCTTTTGGGTAGAAGTTTCAGTCTCCTGAGTGAAGTCGAGTTTCATTCTAACTATCAAGGAAATGTCTCTTTTCTGTCTAGTTGAGTATTGTGTACTTTCTTCCTGAGTCACCAGTGCACTGAAGATGGTGTTTCTGTGTCCCCCGCCCCCCTTGGATTTTTAGTTATTTTCAAGGGGAGAGTAGATCCAGGTACAAGGCTGCTTTGTTATTGGAAATGAAATTTAAAATAAATCAGCTTCTTAAGTCATGGAGAAAAGAGACAAAAGATAAATTTATTTTCTGCTTACCATTGTTCAGAGCTGTGAGTGGTCCATGAGGCATTTAGTGTTTTACTATTGTATTTTCTCTCTTCTTAGGGTTATAGAGAGTAAAGTTTTAGTTGTAAAATATTGCCAGAGTTTCTAGGCTAAAGTAATAAAATAAGGTGACTTGAGATAATGTAGCAAGTTACTAAAAAGAGCGAAAGTTCTTATGAATATATATATATAATTTGTTTTCCTTAAGTCATAGGTGGACGCCTTTATTTTATTTGTTTTCTATTTTTATGTGGTGCTAGGGATCAAACCCAGTGCCTCACACATACCAGGCAAGTGCTCTACCACTGAGCCCCAGCCCCAGCCCCATTATGAATATTTCTTGATCACTCCATTAAATTTTTTTTTTTAAATATTTTTTGGTTGTTGATGGACCTTTATTTTTATTTATTTGTATGTGGTGCTGAGAATCACACCCAGTGCATCACACATGCTAGGTAAGCACGTTATTCAAATTCACCAGTTATTCAAATATAAAAGTGCAGATGGTCCATCCTGGTCCACAGTGGCTTCTTTTTTGTACTGGGTATTGAACCCATGGGTGTTTTCCCACTGAGCTACATCCTCAGTCTTTTTTAAGTTTTTAGTTTTGAGACAAAGTTTGCTAAGTTGCTGAAGGTCTCTCTGAATTCTGAGTCTGATCTTGAACTTGAGATTCTCCTACCTTAGCTTCCTAAGTTGCTGGGATAAGTGCCATTGCACCCAGTTTATAGTGGCTTCTTTTCTGAGACTGTCATTCCATAGAATGTGTTTCTCTTTGTTGACTAAAGAGTGTATATTTTTTAAAAAATATTTTTTAGTAGTTGTTGATGAAATTTTTTATTTTTATTTATTTATTTGTAAGTGGTGCTGAGAATTGAACCCAGTGCCTCACACATGCCAGGCAAGTACACTACTGCTGAGCCCCAGCCTGAGATTCTATATTTTAAACTTAAAAAACTAGTTGATAAATGTAAGTGTCCAATTGTGAATGGAGCACATACTTTAAAATTGTTGACAGCTTATTTTCTTCATGTTTTAGTTCATCTGGTTGATATCTGGAACATGATTGAAGCCTTTCGAGACAATGGCCTTAATACACTGGACCATAGCACCGAGATGAGTGTGTCCCGCCTCGAAACCGTCATCTCATCCATCTACTATCAGTTGAATAAGCGCCTTCCTTCTACTCACCAAATCAGTGTGGAACAGTCCATCAGCCTCCTCCTCAACTTTATGATTGCCGCTTATGACAGGTAGTACCTTCCACGCTTGCTTCACTCTAGGAACACCTGTCACTTACTTCATTGCTCTGTTTCCAAACTGCCTAAGGCTAGTCCACTTAGAATCACAGTTAAAAGGGAAGTTAGTCAGTATAAGTCTCTTCTATCCAGTCAACAGTGACTTAACTGTCCTGGAGCACCTCATGTTAAGCTCTTTAGTATCAAGGAGAATCACAATGCTTGACATGTTGTTGAGTTCAATAGCTGTTCCCTCTCCAGTGACATATCTAAGTTGTGAGTGTGATTATGAGGCTTTCTAGTTGACTTTTAAGATATCTTTTCTTTAATCTGTAACATTAAGTGCCTTTGGACTAAAGTATCTTGTTTTGTCTTTATAAATGTTGAGGAACCTATTAAAAAAATTTTTTTTTTCAGTGCAGGACGTTGGTAAACTTACAACAAGAGAAGAAAATTATTTAAATGTATCCCAAATTAAAATGTAAATGATTTGAGACACTTGTATTCATAGAGAATTAAGTTGATGTTATGAAAAAGAAAACCAAACCAATCATGCAGGATGGAAGCAGAGCTAGCAGTTACATTCCAGGAGCTGAGAGCTCATATGTTTGCTTTCTGTTACTCTGTTGGCTGTTTGGTTTGGATAGATTAATTCTATCTGCTTCATTTTTTTTTTCTCTATGGCTTACTTTGAGTTCATACCTTTGTAAAATGTTATTAATTATACTTTAAATAGTGAAAATTCTGTGAGTTAGTGATGAAACTAATTGTATCAAAGTAAAACTTTGTATCAAAGTTAGGTCACAATTAGATAGTTACTAAATGTACAACATGTTTATAAGATGTTACCTGATTATATATTATAGATATTTAATAGAAAATTATTTAAAGGAAATTTATATTATTAAAATCAGAATATCCTAGAGACATGAGTCCCAGAATCCTAATGCCACTTTTTAGTAGATCAGTGAATCCATAAGGTTAATTTTACACTTTCTGAGGATAATTTTGATTCAGAACCCTTAGTGAAAATTGTTATTCTGTGATGAGTAAGCAGCGCTTTATCATGACACTGACCCACTGAGTATGTCAGTTCAAGGGGTCACAACACAAATCAATTTAAGAAGCACTTTTATAAAAAGTCAGAAATAAAAATATCTACTACCTGGGCTGGGATTGTGGCTTAGCGATAGAGTGCTCACCTCGCACGTATGAGGTCCTGGGTTCGATCCTCAGCACCTTATAAAAATAAAATAAAGGTATTGTGTCCAACCATCGCTAAAACATAAATATTAAAAAAGAATCTACTATCTAAAAATGATAAGCAGGGATTAAAAACTTTCATTCAATAGTCACATCAAGTTAAATACTATGGTATCTGAGCTGCTGTAAGAAAATATGTTAAACTGATCAGCCTAGGTGTCCATCATTGGATGAATGAATAAGGAAAATACGGTACACATACAAAATGGAGTTTTATTCAGCCATAAAGAAGAATAAAATTATGTCATGTGCAGGAAAATGGATGGACCTTGAGAACATTATGAAATAAGCCATACTCAGAAAGTCAAGGGTTGTATATTTTTTCTCACGTATGTGGAAGTTAGGTAAAGGAAAGGAAAGGTGGGGGTGGGGTATCTCATGAAAATTGAAGGGAGATCAGTAGAGTAGAGGAAAGGGACCAAGGGGAGGGCCGAGGGGAGAGAAAAGGAAGTACCTGGGAATGATATTGGCCAAATTATAGTGTTACATTGTGTGTATGTATGAGTATGTAATAACAAATTCCACTATTATACACAACTGTAATGCACCAATAAAAAATAGAAAAAAAAGCACCATAAACACAGTTGCTTATAAACAACAGAAATATATTTCTGACAGTTGTGGAGGCTGGAAGTCCAAGAACATGGGAGAGATTGTATGTTGTAATGTCCTGCTTTCTGGCTCTTAGATCACAACTGGCTGTATCTTCATGTGGTGAAAGGGGCAAGGGATCTCTCTGGGACCTCTTTTTTTTTTTTTTTTTTTTGGTGCTGGAGCTCAAACTCAGGGCCTTTGTGCATGGGAGGCAAATACTCTACCAACTAAGCTATGTTCCCAGCCCGGCCTCTTATATGGGTACTAATCCCATTCATGAGGGCTTCGCTCCCAAGACCTAGTCAACCCCCCCCCCCCCCAAATACCCCACCTTCTCATGCTCTCATGTGACAGAGACATTCAGACTATAGCAAATGGCTAAAGAATGGAGGAAAGGAAGAGTAAAAAGATAGAAACATAGGAGCAGAAGGCACAGAGATATCCTGGGATGGATTCAGAGAGAACTGGACATGTGCAGAAAAAGACCAAAAGAATAACTGGACAGTCAACCAGATGAAGACAGATGGGTAGATGAGCACGCTGAAAACACTAGCAAATCCAGAAAGATGAGTGAGTGACGAGTAGCAGAGTGAGTTTGGTGATATTCAAGTCCACATGTTTAACACTTGACCATGGGTATTAGAATCTGTTATCCTGTCTTCACTAACCTTGACATCTGCATATGATAAGAACTTATTTAACTCTCTAGACATTTAAAATGGGCTTTCTGGGGCTGTGGCTGTGGCTCAGTGGTAGAGCACTTGCCTGGCACGTGTAAACCACTGGGTTCGATCCTCAACACCACATAAAAACAAATAAATAAAATAAAGGCATTGTGTCCATCTACAACTAAAAATATTAGGAAAAAAAAAACCAAATTGGCTTTCTTTCTTTTTTGGGGGAGTGGGTATTAGGGATTTAATTGAGGGGCACACAACCACTGAGCCACTTCCCTAGCCCTTTTTATTTTTTATTTTGAGAGAGGGTCTCACTAAGTTGCTTAGGGCGCTGCCAAGTTGCTGAGGCTGGCTTTGAACTTTTGATCCTCCTGCCTCAGCCTTCCAAGCCCCTGGGATTACAGGTGTGTGCCACCATGTCCAGCTAAAATTGACCTTCTTATACTGGAAAAAAGAAAGGATCTGTTTATCAGAATTTTTAGAAAATCAGAGCATTATGTTGTTGAATACTTCAAGTATTAGTCTTTTTATTGAATGGTCAATTTATTTAGGCTGAAGAGTCCCTTTGATGTGCAGATTACCTAGTTATTTCGACTGAGTCAGGTTTTGTATTTCATAATTCCTCAAGGTTAAAATTGAAGGCAAATATTATTTAATCTTAACTTTCCTCACTTTCAAATTTATATTCTTTTTTTTTTTTGCCAAATGGTTTCTGATTATTATAATAGTTTATAAGACCCTAAAACAACAGGAACAAATGGGGTCTGAGACTTCCTTCCAGAAATAGTATTTTCTGAGGATTTAATTTTCTAAATGCTTGAGTTTTAAATACTTTACATTTTAACATCACATACTTTATGTAATGTTACATTTAACACACTTCACATTTTAAAACGTTGAAAAATACAGATTTCCATTACAAACACCTGTGTGTACAACCTTGGCAAAGGCCACAAAAACTAGCAAAAACATGGATAGCCTCATTCTTCCCACCTCTTGGGTCCCGCACCACTGTAGTGCAGGTTATCCTGTGGTCTGGTCCAACCATGGGGCAGAAGTTGACTATCCACATTCCCAGCAGGAGGGAGAGATCTGCCTTCCTGTTCTGCATTGAGGCACTTTCACATTCTAGTGCTTTTTACTTACAGACCCCTTTCTGTTTCAGCTCTTGGTATTAGTTCAGTGTCTTTAGCTGTGAGGAAGAGAAAGCTGCTTACATGGGCTTTTACAGTAACTGGGGCCAGAGGGAGGCCGGGCTTGGATCTTGGTTGCATTAAGCCCTGGCTTCATTTCCTTACTCTGCTTCCAGCTGTGCTTTCCTATTAGGTTCACCCTTAGGCTGACTTCAAGAAATGCTTGCTAACAGCCACCAAATGCATCCCATTTTAGGTATAGGTAGAGGGAGAGAGTCACCTTTTCTCAGCATTAAACAGAAGTAGCTGAACTTCCCTCTGGAACTGTGCCCTTAGGTCAGATATGTGGAGGTGTTGTATCTGCTAGCTCAAACACATCAGGATGTGTGTCTCTGGAGCAGAGAATGGTTTAATCTCACTTTGACCACATGCTACTCTGTGGTGGGAATGGGTAGATTAAATATGAGGGAGACAACTACAGTGGTCACCCTAAGCTTCATGCAGTACATCATAAACTTGTGGAACCCTTTCTCATGAAGTGATCCCACTGTCCATTCAGTTTCTTAAACCTGAAATCTGAGAATCATTTATAAGTCTTCCTTCTCCTCTAGTCCCCACATCCAACCAATTACTCAGTCCTGTCATTTCTGCTTCCTGATATCTCAAGTGTGATGCTTTTCTCCAGTGTGTCTTCACCTTTCCCTGGACTATTGCCCTGGTTGCTCACTGATCATTTTGTAGTACTTTCTTCTCTCCCTCATTTATTTGGTTTTAGGGATAATAAACATCCATGCACCCACTATCTAATCCAGAAATACTACTATTGGCAGTAACTTCCATTTATCTCTATGCTGTCTTGTCCTGTCCCACTGACCTGAACCTAGTTCAGGTTAACACTATCCTGATTTGTGTTACCCTTTCCTTGCTTCTGAAATACAGTTTGTCACATATATAGGGATAAAGTATTGTTTAGTGAGTATTCTGTTTTGTTGCAGTACTGGGGATTGAACCCAGGGACTCACACATCTAGGCAAATGCTCTACTGCTGAGTTACATCCTCAGTGTTTTATTTAGCTTTTCTTCACTGTTACCAAAAGACCTGATAAGAATAATTTTGGAGTAGGAAAAGTTTATTTGGCTCCTGGTTTTAGAAGTCTCAGTCCGTAGATGGTTGACTCCATTGCTCTGGGCCCGAGATGATGCAGAACATCATGGTGGAAGGGTGGTGAGGAGGAACGCAACTCAGTACATTACAATCAGGAAGCAGAGAGAGCTCTGTTCATCAAGGACAAAATATAAACCCCAAAGGCATACCCACAGTGACCTATCTCCTCCAGCCACACCCTAC